ATATACATATACATATACATATACATACATACAAACCTACAAACATACATACATACATACATACATACAAGCATACATATATAGATAGGTACTTACATACGTACATGAATATATACTTATCAGTCCAATACATTATTGTGTGCTGATACAGGTTCTAGACATTTAGACTGAATCGTGGCTTGAAAAGTGACCTATCCTATTGACTGTTCGTTTCGACATGAGTGTCTCGTACTTAGCGTTGCAGTATAGGTCTATTGATTATCTAATTGTGCGTTGGTATCTCATAATCCCATTCTTTACATGTATTTACCCTCTCTCCCGCTTATTAGAGCTGATCTGGTTGTCAGTGGTTGAGAAGCGTGCTTCTGGAGTTCTGGTTTGGGTCTCATTTCTATTTTATTGTTTTTTTTTACTCATCGTTTTCTGAACCACGTGTGGTTTCGAAATCCAATGAAACGCAAAGTAGCGATAACCTCTGCAAGTGCAAGGTGCAACGTACACATCATAAGTAAAAAGGTAGCGATAACCTCTGCAAAGTGCATGGTGCAACGTACACATCATAAGTAAATAGGTAGCGATAACCTCTGCAAAGTGCATGGTGCAACGTACACATCATAAGTACAGACACATATATTTATGGGAATTTACAATAGACAACGTAAATATTTATACATACAGAATAAACACTACTCGTATACACGCTCACTACAGATCGACAAGTAGACGTATATACAACACCCACTATGCCTGAGCTCAAGAAACACAAGCACTCTAAGAGATCCGTGGAGAAAGTACGCAACAACAAGAAGAAAGCGGAACTAGCTTTGGTTGCTGCGCAAACACATACCGATGTAGAGCCACACGTGTCGACATACAATGGAATACTCGATGCGGGTGCAGATTCCAGTGACGAGGAAATAGGCGCTGGTATATCGCGAAACACATTGGATTCTATCGTGAAGATATATTGTACACATTGTGACCCAAACTACAGTCTGCCATGGCAGATGAAACGACAGAATTACAGCACAAGTAGTGGATTTGTGATTGCGGGACGACTGATACTCACAAATGCACACAGTGTGGAGAATCACACAGTAGTGAAGATCAAGAAAAGAGGGTCTGATCAGAAGCACCTGGCCAGGGTTCTAAGGTATGCTCAGTGCATATATGCATATATATATATATATATATATATGTATATGTATGTATCTATGTATCTATGTACGTATATGTATATGTATATATATATGTGTGTGTGTGTGTGTTGTGTGTGTGTGTATGCATATATATATATATATATCTATACCTATACCAATATATGTATATCTATATAAATATACACACATATATATATATATATATACTCACCTACTAATACTCTCACTCACTAATACTCTCACTCACCTCACTCACGCATACATACATACGTACATACATCCGCACATGCGTTCAGATATACATACATACATGCGTTCAGACATACATGCATACATACAAGTTGATATATATATATATATATGTACATCTATATATATATATATATTATAATATATATGTATACATATATTTATGTATATATATGTATACCCGTTTATATGAATATGTATTTATATATATGTGTGTGTGTGTGCCTGTGTGTATGCATATATATATATATATGTATGTATGTATGTATATATATGTGTGTGTGTGTATGTATGTATGATTAGATATACATACATACATACATACATACATATATATGTGTGTGTAAGTATGTATGTATGTCTAATCATACATACATACACACACTTATATATATATATATTTATATATATATATACATATATGATTTTGTGTATGTGTGTAGCCGTCCGATTAGTATATATATATATTTATGTATATGTCTTGTGTCTGTATATATATATATGTATATTTATATATACATACATACACATATATATATATAATATGTGTGTATGCGTGTAGCCGTCCGATAAGACAGTTTAATTGCATTGATTACTGCAAGGAATCGAATGTCATCAGCTAGTTGATACATCCATGATGTAGCCATATGTTAAGCAAGACGTCATTATCCACGACAGTCTACTCAATTAAGCAAGAGGTTGAAAAGTAGAGTTGATAGTCACGATGTACGAATTTTAGAATTAGCCGCACTTAATTGTATCTTAGCTTCAATCACGCACCCGACTTTCATACCAGGCAACAGCAGCGTGTTTGATCCAAGACACGTGCATTGGTTTTAGGAGCTGGCATATTGGTAATTTGTCATAATATACATACCGCTGGCTTTCATATGGACATCCATTACCCTATAGTATTGGCAACGAATGCGATTTGGCGCTGCTCACCGTCGACGATGACAGTTTCTGGAGCTTCTCTTCGCCTCTTGAACCCGGGGCGTTGCCATCATTACAAGATCCAGTGACTGTAGTGGGGTTTCCCATCGGTGGTGAGAATATTTCGGTGACCAGTGGTGTTGTGTCCCGTGTCGAGATGCAGCCGTACTGTCATTCCCAGGCTGAGTTACTAGGTGAGTTCCTAACTGTATATGCATATATGAATACAACTGTATTTATTTGTATATTGAAGTGTGCATGCCAATGTATATATATATATATATATGTATATATGTATGTATATATACATATATATTGTCTCGGTTGCTTAATGTATCTTGTGAAAAGGAGCCCTACTGCCGACCCTGCACTGAGTTACGAGGTGTGTGCCTGATGAGTATATCACCTATGCAGTTTTATGGCTTGCATGTTTCAACAATGGTTAGATAGATTAGATAGACATATCGGCCGTTTGCCGTAATTCGCTACCTATCAACCGCTGACATCGTGTATGTACATTACATGAATGATATTCTATACCAGAAAGCCCTTTGATATCTGACGCGAGGTGCTATATCTGTGCCAACACTTCTCAACTGTTTTATTTTTACCCAAGCACTCTATTTATATCAACATTTTTCTTGGTGTTGCTACAGGTGTTCAGATAGACGCAGCCATAAACTCCGGTAACTCCGGTGGGCCCGTCCTCAATGCGGCGTGGCAGTGTGTGGGTGTAGCTTTCCAGAGTCTCAACTCAGCCGAGGCTGAGAACATAGGATACATTATCCCGTGGATAGTGGTGATGCACTTCCTGGATGATTACAAGAAGAACAAGTGCTACACAGGCTTCTGCAGTACCGGCTTTGAGTGGCAGGGAATGGAGAATCCGTCTTTGGTGTGTCGTATATGTATGCTGTAGACCTTCAGGGTGATAGATTGTATTTCCTCAAAGCTATTATGCGTAGCTTTTATCGCCGAATTGTGCGTAAAACCTTAGGGCTTGGCTCGGTCCGCTTAACATGGGATTCGAGTTGAGCTATGAATTTGATTTTGCTACTGTACAGTTTATTGAAATGGTGGCCTGGATTTGTCTGCTTTTGCTTTCGCGGGCCAGGAAAACATTCCTTAACGTTTTCTAGCGTTATAGTATCGTTTTAGACCTTATCACTGACCACACGCACTGTATACCGACTAAACAGCGCCAATTTATGAAAATGGGTCCACAAACCGGTATACTAGTTAAATGGGTTGACCCGTTATCCGAGGCGAATACCAAAGCGGGTTTGAGGAAGGGGGATGTCATCACCATGTTTGATGACCACGGCATTGCTAACGATGGAACGGTGGCGTATAGAGCTGGAGAGAGAATATCCTTCAACTACCTCAAATCACTGAAGTTTGTTGGGGATAACTGTACACTCACCATCTGGCGAGACAACTCACTGCACAAGCTCACATATCCGCTGGGCACGATTCAGACACCCCTCCTTGTGCCAATGAGGGAGCACAGAAGGTGAGTTGCTTCTGCATGGTGTGTATTTATATAGACGTGTGTGCACGGCTTGAGTGTGTCGCATTTTGCCAATTGTCGGAGATAGCTGTGCGCTCATCATTCGGCGTAGCTTGCCTCATACATATTCTCTAATTTTTCATGTATATCACAAGCGCACTTATCCATTGTACTCGATTTAGATACCTCTCCTCTGCACAGGTGGTTAAATTCTCCTTTGTACTGTGTTTTTGAAGATTTATGTATATGTTTGTCGATGTCGTAAGTGCATATCTGTATATGTAGTGTTTGATTTATGTGGAGGACAGGGCTACACTTCTTATCTAGCTTGGTAATGTACAAGACACTCTCGCTTGTCGTTCAGGCGCCATACGAACATCACTTCTCGAGTTTAGTAGTGGGGCTGAAGAAGCGAGTACATTTTGTTAGCACATTCATATGCTTATTGTTACTTGATTTCACCACTTTATGTTTATACTGTGAAATCAAGATGTAGTTTTGGGCACCTAACATACACCTCTACGCATCCAAATAGGGCACATGCGTATACCAGATACTAAAGTATAGTGAACCCACTTTCCTTACCAAAACCCATCGTGGCATCCCACTGATCGTTTGCTTCTACGTATTCACAACAACGCCACAGAATGCCGGAATACATCGTAGCCGCCGGGTTAGTGTTTGTCTGTCTCAGCGAGCCGTATCTTCGTGCAGAGTTTGGTGAAGACTTCCAGGAACACGCACCCGTGAAGCTACTCGACAGAGTGTTGCACGGACGCAAGACCTTCAAGGACGAGCAAGTGGTTGTTCTCTCACAGAGTTTGGATTGCCAGGTCAATGTTGGCTGTCAGTACCTGTTGAACACACAACTGCTGAGGATCAATGGTACCTCCGTTCGGAATTTACCGCACCTCGCTAAGGTGGGTTATAGCTAACTTGTAATCATGTGTGTTCGTATAGGTTGATGCGCTTCCTCTCAGTCGGAGACTTGGCACTTTCATTTCCTCTTATATGTTTTTGTGTGCATGCATGCTCGTTCCCATGGAAGCACCTGTCATCGCATTGCCGCATTGCATCAAGTAGTGTGCTGTATGTCACAATCGATAGTGCGCCTTATTCTTACGCAATAAACATGAGGATTGGACGAATAACTGCAAAGTTGTATATATGCGTTGTGTATATATATATTTATGTACTCGCAATGTTTTGAAAGAGTGACCTCAAAACTTCAGTCCGTCAGTGGTCATGACTCGATACTCGCTATTCCATGGTTGTAAAAGCATAGCCACATCAACCCTATTCTTATTCTGTACACTGTCTATCTACTCTTATTTCGATAGCTGTATGACGAGTGCAAGGACGATTACATCAAGCTGGACTTCGAGTACGACGAGGTGATTGTGCTGAAACGTGACGAAGCGATTGCATGCAATGCACAAGTATTACTACAGCATGGCATTCCTAAGGCGCGGTCACTGGGCGCTATCAAGACCGTCGAGGTATTTCAATACTATGGGGTATATGTTTATATCCGTAGCAAATGTCTGGTACCCAAGTCCGTAATGCCCAGCCCATTCCTGTGCTTTGTACTGTATTTTAGCGTTGATCATGGGAAACTTCCCAAGTTAGCTTTGTTCGTCGTCCCCTCCACGGATTCTCATAATAACTTTAATAACTTCACATCCAGTCATCAACGGCAAAGAGCGAGACGGATGACACAGCAACCGAATCAAAAGCCAGCAAGAAGAGCAGCAAACAAAGCAGCAAGAAAAGTAAAAAGGTCAAGAAAAGCAAAAAGAGGAAGGCCGCAGACTCAGATAGTGAATAAATAATAAAGTCAAAAGTTATTGAGCTATTCGAGTACAAAGTGACCGTGTCGGGTATTGTACATGCATCTCACCTCATCGTAAAAAAAAGTGTTCTAGATCTCTCCGGTGTAGTGGCCTGGTCTTATTACAATCCTACCCGATATCTATATGGTGATGGATTAGTTTTTAAGGCCACAGATTTGACGAAGTTTGCCTAATGCGAGATGCAATAATAAAAGTTGATACGGAGAATCAATTAATGCATAAAGGCATTGGAAGTGTGTAACATGTGATACGATGTACAAAGGTGAACAAAGGCTTAGAGCCATTCTGTCAAATCTGGTATATTCTAGCATATTGGTAGCAGAGACGCTATGAACGTGTTTTTCAAATTATGTTTTTAAATATTTGAAGCAGTTAATATCCTGACGTTTGTTTTCTCTCAAGTTTAGGGGCGAGTACGATTGGCACTAAATCCAGGGAGTCAAGACCAAGTCATATTCCGTATTCACATGTGCAAGCAACTTGATCGACCTAAAACGTGATTCTGGCAAAATACCTACTGTCGGCAGCTACAAATGCATTAAAAAATCGAGGAATCAGGGGTGTTGTTCTCAGGGTAAGACAAGGTTGTGGAAGAGATTGGCATATTTGAATCCGCAAATTTGGTCACATTAGAAAGTATGGAGATTACAGCACAAGATTGGAAATTAGTTACTAAATATATCTCAGTAAAAAGTGTTATATTTCGAGGTAAAAAAAGTTCATCGTGAAAAATCCTCCGTCACTCAGACAACGACATTCAAATTTCCTATTAAGTGTTGATCAAAACTTAGTACACCACATCCACTGCGCATTTCAACCTGAAGAATCACCCTTTTACTCGGACAATAGCATTCAGAGATATTTCAGGTATTTATCAAAGCTGAACTACGTATGTATCCAAGTACACCTCGACATACTCCAAGTGCAAATAATAACAGGTTAAACTATATTCAATCGTTCAGCAGTGCATAGAATTGAGGAGATTTTCTGACGTTGATTAATACCGTTTAAATGCACAATGACATATGATACTAGTTTCTTTTTCACCTTCAACTTTACAACGCAGTAACCACGTGTCATCGAAATTTACCGTGGATGCCTATTTCCCATTTAATCGTAAATATTTGACTTCTCTATTTAGCATTCTTTTCATTGCTGAATTGTTTATTTAAAGATATTTCAGGCGTTTATCGAATCCGAGCTATTTGCGTATGTATTCAAGTACACTTCGACAAACTTTACCCGCAAATATGTCGGGTAAAACTATCTTCAATCATTCAGCAGCGCATAGAATTGGTGCCGATTTCTGTTGTATATAAATTATACACACTGAGATATTCGTTTATTATTCACCTGCAGCTCTAACGCCGCTACGGCGCGGTCCTCAATTGTTCCCTGATGCATGCCATCAAAATCTGCCTTAGATACGCATTTCCGATCTATTCATAATAAAATCCCTCTGACTACTAAATTTAAATAGTATTCGTTTCATTGTCCGAATTTTTTTATTCAGCCTCTAAAAAAATGCACATGTACTGTCTTCTTCAATTAAATTACTTTAGAATTGAAGAGGGTCAAAATCGAATTTTTTTAAACGTAGTCTATGGCTGTCATCCACGGCCTTTATATATAAAGCTCAGTCGCCGTCAGCAACAATCCATTAGCGCATGATGTATCCAACCAAAGCAAAAGATGATTATGCCGTGAGGCTTAACGGAGTCACCGTTCCGCGAGATATAGTTATGAAAATTCTTTCACACTTGTCGACATATACACTCCTGCAATGCAAGCTTGTATGCAAGGAATTCGATGCCATCGCAAGCGATCAATCCATGTACAAGAAATTGCCGTTATCAGTGTTCCAGCCAAGAGGGTATCTGTATAGAAAATCTTGCAGAGATGCCATCACATTTGCACGGTCGTTCCCATGTCTGGAAAAATGGACTGTGTGCAGATCCAATTTTGTAAGCAAGCCTGAGCGTCTTGCACGAGTACTCCCAAATTTGAAGAGTATCAAATGCAAATTCGTTAGTCATCAGGGGTCCGGTAGTCTCAGCATCACCCTCTTTGAACTTTGGCCCAGTCTGCAGAAATTGCAATTGTATACTTGGGATCTTCCGCCTGACGTATATCGAAATCTGGCTGAGATCGTTCTGACGTCACATAGTCTTCGCGAGAATACCATACCCAGTATCACTTCATCGAGTTTGGTACGAATCGTTGGTGGTACTACTCCAAGCGTGCAAGCATTGTTGCGGGGATGCCCCAAGCTACGAATATTATGCCTATGGAGTCACAGCTTAAATGAAGACCTAACAAGCGATGTTTTGCAAAAACTACGTGTATACGATGTCACGCATCCCAGTGCTTTGAAGTATGCTAGAATACACGAGCTACAGGTGACGAAATGGAGCGAGCACACATGCAGTCCAACCGTCCGAAGTCTTATACTTGAAAATGGCACAGTAGAGCCAGGGGTTTTAGCAACCTGTTTTCCCAAAGTTTTTTCACTCACAGTCAAATTTCTCACGGACAGATTCTGTTCGTCTACCTTAGAGACCTTAACACTCAACGGCAGTCGAATGTGCAGACTTCCGCGTCAGTGCAGTCTGAATACGTTGGCTGGGCTGATATGGGGGGTACACAACGGACACTTCGGGCGACCGATTGCGCTTAGTATGCTTGTCGATGCCATTTCATCCACAGAGATGTTCAGTTGCTGTCCCACACTACGATATATGTGTCTACGTGACCTGCCGCTCGCCGGCACTTTTCTCCAACAAACCTCTTCTTGGTGGAGAAAGTATGGTATAATCAACAAAAGGCAGGAAGGCTTCAAGGTTCTGGTAGATCGTAGACTTAGTGGGTTCATGCCTCAGGAATTCAATCAATTAGAATTGGAAGGCAAAGTAGGATACTTTACTGGCAAATCGTGATATAGATATCCCGAGAATCTCCAATATCCTGTTGTATAGATGAACTATCTCTATTGAATTAACTATGATAGGATTCGAAATTAAACTACCTTGCTGGCTTGCATCCAGAATTCTTGTACATATCACCTCCAAGGCTCCACAGTCCACACTCCCCCGGCTTTTGCTTATCGTCTTGATCAGCAAATTGGCAATCTTGGCGCCAAACTTGGCACCTAATCAAAATCGTCTGTTTTGGCGGACATATTTACAAATATGCCAAATTGTATTCTGCTGACGTAATAATGTGTTTTGTAAAATTATGTGCTGACTGACAGTGATCAGGTCATCAGGCAGTATGAGACTCGTGACTCGTGAGTTTGAGTGCCCACTGCCTGAGCGTATGTCGATTGTCGCATCGATTCATCAGTGTACACTATAGCCGCCTTCAAGTGGTTTCGCTCTCAAGTGTGCACCATTCGAATACAAGTCTCTTGTTGCTTGACTTACCACACTGGTAAGTACTATGTACGCAGGTCAGACTAGTGATTTATTTAGTCTTAATACTTCTCCTACTGTCTCGTTGTATGGGAACTTATATGCATTCATATCTCGAGGCGTGAACCCTTTAAAGGATTTCTAGGTCTGGCATGATGGCTTCCACGTCACCCCCACAGGCTGAACCCCTACCCAGCTTATTAGTGGCACCACTGCTCTCTCTGTGCATATCAGCAATCGAAGAACCCACTCCACATATCTTCAATGCTATCACAAACGAGTTGCACACACTCACTCAGAAGCCTGTACAAGCACATGTACTGAAGCACACGAGTGTTAAAGAGAGTGTACAGCTGGCGTGTGTGAGTTACTTAGAGAGACACGAGAATACAGCAACGGAACGTGAGTTGCTGGCTGTTCTAGGGTGTTTGCTTGCGTTACTGAGTGGTTTGAATGGGACTAATAAACAAGAGCTGGGGTATCAACCGGAACATGACCTTCAACAGTCTAGATGTGAACATTCTAGTAGTGAGTTTTGTTCTTCCGCTACAGCCACAGCGAGACATGAGTCATATGCGCGGGTACTCACAGTTCTGGCGAGGATAGCAGCACCTACACATATGGTGCGATATACTAACACAAGCAGCCAAGCTCCACACAGGTCTCATGAAAAGGCCGATGAGGTTGTGCAGATGGCCGTAGAGTGTTTAGAAGGCTACTTTGGACTTATGCGAATGGAAAATCAGACTGAGATGGATAATCACACGAAAGACGTACAATCACGAGGAAGTAGTGTGGTAGTGTTATTTGAACAGAACAATACCCAAAATAGACCACATGATCTTAGTGGAGACATGAAAGGAATTCCGAGGCCAGGATCCCGCCCCCAAACGAACAATAGTATCCAGCAAAACAACGAGCACAATATTCTGATATCGTATATCATCGCCGTGTTACTGGCATATGTTGAGGTGGGACAACGTAACCGTCGCCTCAAAGAGTGTACTCTGCGTGCACTGAAGGAAGTCACATGCATGCTACTGAAGGGTTATGGCGATGGGGTCGAGGTGGTGTCGAGGATAATGCCGGGACTGGTGACTGTGCTCGCCAGGGTGATCGCAGCAAGTGATAGCAAGCAGGGACGGCTGGTATGTTATAAACATAAAATGTCTATAGCGCGGAGGTTGTT